AGTACAGCCTGATCTTGCCTGCAGCAGCCAGACCTGCATGAATGGCCTTGATTGTCTTAGGGAAATGAAAGGGTGTTTTCTGGTTCAAAGTAGAACCAAGTGTGAGTTACTGTTCTCAATGTGTGGGCCTACACAAGCATACAGTTCATACCTCCAGTTCTGTAGCTATGAATCAAATAGGCACATGTAATATCCCTTGTCTCTGTGGGCCTGGTGGCCAGGACAGCAGAGTCAGAGTGTGGGTGTCCATGTGCAGAGCTTCCTATTATACTGCCCTCTGCTTCCCCAGTGCCTCCCAGTGATGGAATCCAAGCAGGAACCTGAAGGCTAGAGGGTCCATAGAATCACTTTCTTAGGGCCAGAGCAGGACAAAGAGAGCTGGAAAATGGCTCTTAGACAGTTAAGTAAATGGAGAGCAAACAACCCAGAATCCAAAACAAATATCCAAGCATCCCCTTTTAATGACGGCAGGGAATGTCTTTTAGGGAAATGGTAACAGTGGGAATTCATGTCCTATAGTAATCCTCCATTGCTGTGTGACAAGTTACCCCCATAAGTAGTGGCTTAAAATATTTGTTATCTCATGCTCTTTCTGCGTCATGAATTCAAGAGCGGGAGAGCTGGGTAAGTCTTGTTCAGAGTCTCATGTAGTTGCCACGAGGATACTAGCAAGGGCTTTGCCTGGAGCTAGAGGCCTCTAGGAGGTTTCGTTACCATCATGTAGGCCTCTCCAGAGAGCTACCCAGGACATGGTAACTGGCTTCTCCCAGGCTAGGGAGGGAGGCATGGGGAGAAAGGAAGAGGTAAGGAGAAGGACAGTTTCGTTGATGACTCTCAGCAGTCTAACACCATTACGGCTGCCATAGCCTTTTAGTTCCTAGCTCAGCCCCCATTTAAGGGGAGGGGAATCAGATTCTGCCTTTTGCAGTAAAGAGTTGTTTAAGACTCTAGGCCTATTAAAACCCACCATCTATCCAGAAAGATCAGGAAAAATGATTCAGGGTAATTTCATAATAGGAAGCAGAGCTTGGGAGCCCTGTTGGAACCTGTTGTCTTGGCAATCCCTGTGCCTTCTCAACCTTCCCAACTCATTACCATAGTTACCTACCCGATTTCCCACTATTGTTCCTGGCTACCTATTCTTGGAAAGCAGTTAAACTAATCAGAGCTGAGGTGGTCATGGTCCTTGATAGACCCACAGATCCCTTCTGGGAGTCAGCCGATTCTAATAGAAGCTCTCCTGGAGGTGCAGTGAGCCCTAAGGAACAATGTCTTTAATCTCTTTCATGTGGGAAGGGATGATTTCAGTGACACTAGCAAGGTTCTCCAAAACAACGAAGCACTTATTCATTCTATGACTTAATTCTCGCAACAAAACTGAAACCCATCTTTAATTTCTAATGGACAAGAATGTTAAACCTAGTACTAGAGGGAGAGAGACAGAGAAAATGGTGGAAGTTGGATGTGAAACTCCAGGCTGATTCTCAGTGTGGGGCTCCAGTTGAGCTTGGCGAGAGGGCTCCTGAAGCCATAACCCACCACCCCATCTCAGCAGAGTGGGGAGCCCACTCCTGGACCCAGGGAATGGGATAGATGGGATAGGTATGCATTTCTTCCGGGCGATGGTGGAGGGAGATGATAAACACAGCAGTAAGAAACAACTATTAGATTGCCTCCAGGTCTCTAGAGGCCCAAGCTAAATATGCGTGAAGGCTGTGATTCTCAGAATTTTTGTCTCAGGAATCCTTTACACTTTTAAAAAGCACCAAAGATCCCAAAGGGCTTTTGCTTATGTGTCATATCTACTTCACATCAAATTTCTAATGGACTTAATTGGCAAAACTGTATGTAATCCATTGGTTGTTTATAACATGTTTTGAAATACATATGCATGGTGGACTGGCTAAATTAAGCAAATTATCATAGTCATTATCATGTCTTTGTGGTGAGAACACTTCAAATTTCTTAGCAAATTTTCAATAATATACTGCATTCTTACTGTAGCAACCATGTTATACAATAGGTATCTTGAACCATTTCATCTTTGTGCTATATTTAGTGATATTAGAGATGAATACTGAGAAATTTTTAAAATAGCTCATTTAAAATGTCAATACTTATTATACAACGTAATTTATGAAAGTGGCTGTTTTTCAAAACAAATTGGGAAGAAAAATGTCATGGTGTTTCATTTTGGTAAATTTTTTTAATGCTTGGCTTAGCAAAAGGCAATCAGATTCTCATCTGTGCTTCTACATTCAGGCACTCATGGACTGACCCATTGTGTGACCTATAGAAAATCCCTTGAACAGTCATAAGAGCAAGCATGTGGGAAGGCAAATAATATCTCGGCATTATCATGAAAGTAGTGTTGACCTTGGAAATCCAGTTTGAGAATTGTTGAATTAAGGAGGCATTACAAAGGCTATTCTTAAATTTGCTGATGACGGGCTCAAAGGAAGAGAAGCTGGCATCAGCACCTTGTGGCTCCGGGACCATGACTGACCCAGACACATATGGGCACCATGCTGGTTTGGGCATACAATGAGTGCAGCAAGAAGGAATAAACTGAGGAGCTGTTCAGGAGAGTGGGAAAGCTGCGTGATGCATTAGGATGGAAGGAAACATTGCCATGGTAAGATAATTTTACTATTCACCAATAGGAAGAAGCCTAAAAGCCAGTTTGCTCTTTGCCATGCTTTTTCTCTCCTGGAAACCATGAGTGTTCCAAGTAAACATTAGCTGCACTGTCAGCTTGGCACCCCGGGACAGCACTGACAGGAAAGAACCACCAGCTAGCCTTTGATAGGCACGCAGCTCAGATGAGAAAACAATCAGTTGTAGTTTTCAGCTAGTGACATGTTAGGGTTGTTATTATAATGGTGCAATCTAGCCCATCCTGATGGACATAGCCACCAAACTGAAAAGGCAAGTGAAGAATATGGAATCCACCATTTAATGCACATTTTTTGGAAGATCACAGTGCATTAAACATTGTGCCAGGTGCTAGCATTACAGATGATTTAGATTTGTCACCAGCTCTCAGAGGAGTGCAGGTCAGAAGCCATATAAACTATACCACTCTGCTGTCATTGGGACTATTAGCAATGGGCAGGATGAAAACAAAATCCTTGAGTCCCGAATCAGTCAGAGATTGCCATGGTCAGCCAGGCAGATGGCATAGTCACCTGGGGTTTGTGAAGGGACATTTTGCCAAAGGAACCATTTTTGAGATGTGGGCAGGGCTAAAGGGGCCAACAGGGATGCTGCGGCATCCTCGAGGAAATCTAGAGGAAAACCTATCCCATCCACTCCAGTCTGAAGGAATGAGGGTTACAAATGGTGCTGCTGACCTAATGAGAGTTGGAATCATGGCAGAAAGGTCATGTGACACTAGCTGTAGTTGAAGGGTACAGGCGTTGTCAAAAATGGAGCAAAACAGGGATCAGGAGGAACAAATACTGGCTTCTCGGTCTGCCTGCTTACTGGTCTCCTGCTCATGACTCAACTGGCCCACTCTACCTGGAAAGCAAACATAAGAGAACCCAGGTAATATATACCACATCCAGTTGGTAGCTGTCAACCGTTAGAGAAGAAACAACAAACATGTGACCTGAAATCTTTTATGGAGGGTTAGGATACAGCACATGTAGGAAGGAATGGATCAGCCGGAAATCAGATCACTGGAGACAAACTGTAAGGGGGAAGTTGCATCGTATTTTCTGACCTAGCCTCAGAAGTTATGCAAGATTATCATCACCCTATTGTGCTGGTCACAAGGAAGTTACAAGCCCACCCAGAAGCAAAGGGAGGAAATGAATTCCACCTCTTTTTAGAGAAGCCGGGTTCTAAAACAGCAAACCAATAGCCAGTAGCCACACCTGGCTTTTTACACATGAATTAAAATTCAAATGTGATTCACGTGACTAAGGAACTGCATTTTAGGTGCTCAATAGCCACATGGGTACTTGGAATGGTTCCACTGCTGCAGAAGGTTCTAGAACAACGAACAGGCGAGGCAGGAGCCATTACATTATCCTCTTCCAAAACTGCCATCCACCACTCTGACTTGCAGACAAAAGTACTTGGAATCTCTGGAAAATGAATCACAGTGGTGCAGTGACTCACATAATATTGTACACAAAGGCTGTCAGTAACTGCTGCTGTTTACTACAAAGAGGTGAGCACTTGTATGAAGGCTTGCAAATGACAGGTCATGATAGATAGCTCCAGGGACTAAAAGTAGGCCCAACAGAAGGTAATCACAGAAGGGTGATTTCTATACCAGGAGACTCCATCTTTGTGGGATCAAAGGTCTCTCTGAGCATGTGATAAAAGTTACTCCTCCCCAGAAAAAAAATGAAGATACACCGCCATGTATTTAGTTTCAGGGGTCTATAGAAACTCACTCCCAAAAAATCTAGCCATGGACTCTTCAGATCAAAGCTCTTGAAGATATTTTCATACCCCGAGCCATTACAACTAATGTCCATTGTGAATCCTTTTTAGAAGGTAAGGGATGGAAGACGGGGGAAGGAAGGAATAGTTTGGATAAGGAGAAAGTACCTACCAGCTGATCAGAGACCTGGGACCAGACCACTACTGGTAATTATGGTGTGTTACATCCTTGAAATGGTTCCCTAAAGGCAATCTTGTGCCTCTTGTATCCAAAATACCTAGCCTTAATGATAATTAATAACTGTTGAAAATAATGAGGCACATTTCTGCTCAATACAAATAAGATGTTATGGGCAGGGAAGCATTTAAGTAGAACATTAGGAACACTGACTTTTCCAGCACTAGAGGTGTTCAAGTAAATTTGCAATGATGTAGATAAGATTTAAACTTACAAGCTCAACTGAGTGTGCTAAGGTCTTTTCCAGGTCCGGAATTACAAGGATCAATAAAAGTGATAGTGTTATCCTTCACCTGGGCCTATCACATACAACTTGGATAAACAGGGTGGAATCTAGATAGTTTTCATGTAGCTGGTGCAGCTTGGTAGCATTTTGGGTGAGTTCAGAGTGTGGGGGTTTCCTTTGGAGGATACAAGATTGCCTGTGGAGATGTTTCAAAGTTATAATGTGCTATCATTACCTCTAGTGGTGTGCTCCCTGACCAGCTGGAAGATGCTGTTCTCATTATCCCAGCACCCATCCGACTTCTTCAAGTGGTCTGTAAGTATAAAGACAACTTCTTCCTTAAAGTTCATGTCTCAGACCTGCAAATAAGTGGTTGTCATCCTCCTTGCTCCCATACCTGGTTCTCCCGACAATTCAGACCTAGATAAACAAAGCAATGCACAGAGCTTGAGCAGTCCTGACTGGGTCTTCCAGGCCCTTACAAACAGACTTGTTGGACCCGTCCCACCAGTTTCCAGCATACTCAGATATACATTCATCTTCCACAATGTGTTATGTGAACTTTGGGCAACTCAGCTGAATTTAAAGCTAAAATTACCCCCAATGTCTCTGATAGTTTCATAACATTTGTAAAAGTCAGTTTTGTGCAATTCTTCAAGATCAGGAGCCATATCCCCACTTCCAAATATACAGTTAGTCTGTATATTTGGCAGTTAGTCTGTTCTGCTCACTGTTTAATTTTCAAAATTCTATGGCAATAGTTTTGGATAAAATAGGCATAATGGTTTGGTGTAATGATTCTTGATAAGTAAGTTCATTACTGAGTGTGTATTATCTAAAATCTTGAAGACTATAGTTCCATTTTTCAGAGAAAGGCATATTCCTGTCATCTGCAAAACTCTGAACTTGACTGTATAGTTGTAGGAATCAGATTATTCTGGATTTGAAACTCAGTTTTGAATCCTATCAGCTGGGAAAATTAGCTTCTCTAAACCTGATTTCTAAGTTGCAAAATGAGAATTCCATTCATGCCAGGATTGTCATGTTGAGTGATGGACTATAAAACAGGAAGCATTCCGAAAGTGATAACCCATCCATTCTGGGTGCTTTTTTTTTTCGTTTTTGTTGTTTTTCTTAATCAGAGGCCGGGACTGTTAATGCCCTCTGGGGGCACAATTGGAGACGTGTATCTTAAAAGAGGGAGCTGAGGGCTCACTCCGCCAGCCCAGCTCAGCATCCTTCAGAGACCACCCCCCCCCCAGCACTCCGCCGGTCCTCGCCAGGCCTCGATTTAAATGTAACACTGGATACTTATATGTCTTTCGAAGCTCCATTACTGCAGCAAGCCACAAAGCTCTAATGTGGCGTGCCGTCCTTTTTGAGAGGTGAACATTACTGAATGGAGATCGCTGATGGAAGTGGTAAGACTGTTCCAGGACAAGTGTACCTTGAAGTGGAGTATGACTATGCGTACGGAGCAAATGACAGAAGGGTGGGGATAAAACAAGGGGAGCAGCACATCTTGGCGAAAAAGCCCAGTGATGGCCGGTGGCAAGTCAACCGGATGAGAATTCCAAAGCGTTTTACGTGCCGGCCCAGTATGTGAGGGAGCTCACCCACAGAGCCCTGCCACCCATGAAGCAGGCAGCCCGACTGCCAAACAATCCTATGAAAATGATCCAGAGTCTGCATCTTCAGCGATCCACAGAAAATGTGAACAAACTGCCTGAGCTTTTGAGTTTTGCAAAGCTCTCACCGTCTGTTCAGGGAACAGGTCTTATTGGCGATGCCAATCAGACTTTTGGACCCAACTATAATCCAGGTCAAATTCTCACCCTAAGCCTGGACGTGACCCACAACAACAGAAAGTTTAACAATGACACTCTCCCAAGATTTCCAGCCAGAACAGGACACACTTATTTGATCACTTTCCTGGTCAGTAGTTCTTGGACCTAGAGAAAACTAGCGTCCCCCAGGAGCAGTCTTGTGATTCAGCAGGAGAAACCTCAGAGAGGATACATCAAGATTCTGAATCTGGAGACCAGCTCAACAGCAGCTCCACGAAGCAAATAAGGACAAATTCACCTCCAAATCAAGGAAGACCAGATTCTCCTGTGTATGCCAACCTACAAGAACTGAAAATATCCCAGTCTGCTCTGCCCCACCTTCCTGGGAGTCCAGCAGTTCAGATAATGGAGAATGGGAAACTCATACAGATAGTTCATGACATTGTTACTACTATAACCAAGGAACACAGGAAAGAACTTGGAAACCACCCTGCTGGAGCTGGGATGTAAGCATGAGCAAAGATTTCCACAGTCAAGGAGATCAAGAGCTTCTTTCATCAGAAGAAAACTACCACAGCATTTGTTACAGCCAGTCAGACCAGATAGTCAGTGTGGTTCTTCTCCAAGGAGTTGGTCAGAAGAGTTGGATGAACGTGGGCATATGTTATATACCAGTGACTATACTAATGAAAAGTGGCTCAAGCATGTCGATGACCAAGGTAAATAATACTACTACAGCACGGATGGATCTTGGTCCGAGTGGGAGCTTCTGAAGTATAATGCTTCATCCCAGCAGCAAAGAGAAATAATTAAAAGTAGGAGCCTGGACAGGCAGCTGCAAGAACCAATAGTATTAACGAAGTGGAGACATGGCACCATTGTATTGGACACTAATGACAAGGAATCTCCAACTGCCTCAAAACCCTGCTCTCCTGAAAATGAATCTTCTCCCTCTTCACCAAAGCACCAAGACCCAGGTCAAGAGAAGTATGGATTGTTGGGTGCAACAAAAATGACTGAAAATGGGAAGAAGGTCCAAAAGAACTGGCTGTCTTCCTGGGCAGTGTTGCAGGGCTCATCTGTACTTTTTACTAAAACTCAAGGAAGTGGTACAAGTTGGTTTGGGAATAATGAGTCTAAGCAGAGTTCACAGCGGACCTCAAGGGGGCAAAGATTGAGATGGCCAGCAAGAAGAGCGCATTTGAGCTGAAAACTCATCAAGGCACAGAACTGCTAATTCAGTCTGCTAATGATGCCGTTGTTAATGATTGGTTTGAAGTTGTTAGCAGTACAATGAATAACCAGGCAGTAGAAACTGAGGGAGCAATAGAAGAGGAGATACCAGATTCACCAGGAATAGAAAAGCAGGATAAAGAAAAGGACCAGAAGGATCTTAAAAAACTTCTATGAAAGTATCTATCTAGCATAGATTCTTCAGAACAGAAAAACACCAAGAAAGACTTAAAGATGCCCCACTTTGCAAGCTGTGTGTGAAAAAGGTTATAGTAAAGATGAAGTATTTGGAGCCAATCTTGCTAATTTGTGGCCGAGAGAGAATGGCACAGTGCCAGAATTTGTGAGGCTGTGCATCGTGCGGGATGAAGAATAGGGTTGGGATGTCGGCGGGATCTCCAGAGTAAGTAGCAACATCGCCGTGATCCAGAAGCTGAGGTTTGCAGTCACCTGTGATGAGAAAGTGGACTTGAATGACAGCAGGTGGGAAGACATGTCAGTACTGGAGCACTCAATGTTTTTTCAAGAGTTGCCAGAGCCTCTATTTACATTTAATCATTTTAAGGATTTTGTTAATGCAATTAAACAGAACCAAGACAGTGCATTGCTGCTGTTAAGGATCTAATCAGACAGTTGCCAAAACCAAATCAAGACACAATGCAGATTCTTTTTAGACACCTCGGAAGAGTTGTAGACAATGGAGAGAAAAACCGAATGACTATCAGAGTATAGCAATTGCTTTTGGTCCCACTCTATTAAAGCCAGAAAAAGAGACTGGTAATATAGCAGTTCGTACTGTTTACCAAAATCAGATTGTAGAATTAATTCTTCTAGCATTAAGTTTCATCTTCGGACGTTGATTTTTACGGAAGATAACCTGTGGGGTGGAAGCTGGATTCCATCAGATTTCAGATCTTTATACGCAATGTGTTTTATTTTTGGACCAAGCAGTGGCTCTTTTGATTTGCACTTTTTGAGGGGTCAGAAGGGAAGGGAGCATGAAGATGCCTGTTAGGCCCTCATGTTTGCTGCTTTCTTGCGAGGTGATAAAACTGTAATTCGAGATTCATTTTTATCATGAATGTTTGTATTTTATACTCTGAATTTCAGTAAAAATCAAAACTTAGAATTACAACCAGTCATAGACAAAAGAAAAAGAGGGAGTTGATTGTCCTACAACCACGGCCTGGATTAGGGTGAAGTGAGAGAGTGAAAGTGCAAGATCGGTCTTGTTTTCACTTAAATTTCTGATATTTCTTGATTGGGGGGGGCATGGATTTTAATCTTTTGAATTAACACATTGAAATATTTTTTTTCTTAACAGTTTTGACTCTCCAACCAGTACGCGTTTTCCTGGCCCTAGTCCTGCCCTGCCTACAGCTTCTGCACTGGTTGCGCCATGTCCTAAATTCGGGACTTTTCCTGGGTTGACACTTCGGAGCTGCAGCAGCTGCCCGCCAGAAAACTGGCAGAGCGATGGGACTACAGCTCCCAGAAGGCCGCGCGGCACGCTTGCTGATTGGCTGCGTGTGTCCCGCCCCTGCCCCTCCTTGCCAGGAAGACCCAGCAAGTCCCCAGCTATTGTGCGCCGAGGTCTGACCGGCTGGGACCTCCCAGCTGTGGCCTGATGGCGGGGTGGCCCGTGTCCCGGATAATACGTTGGCTCCTGAGGTCCAGCGCCAGGGGCTGCAGCTCTGGGGCTCCAGTGACGCAGCCTAGCGCCACGGAGCCCTCGCGACCCACCACAGAGGTGAGCCTGCCCACGGGCGTCCGCGAAGTCCTGGGAGCTTGGCCCGAGTCCCCTGTCCTCACCCGGGAAGCCCCAGGCCAGCCTGTTTTCGGAGGCAGCTTATGGGAGGGACCCCGGCCGCTTAATGGGGGGTAATGTCCCCCAGATCCGCTGCATGGGCTCACCTGCTAGCCCAGGAGAAACCCCTGGCAGCCTACCTTCAGACACTCCTGTACCCCCAGTGATCTCCCCTCCCCCACCTCCAGGTGTCAGCTGCGCCCCAAAAGGGGGACCACTAGGGGTAGGACCTTGGGCCTAGGGAAGTGTTTTATTAGTGCCCCCCAACCCTGGCTCACCTCCAGCCTCTTCCTTAAACATTTTCGCTCCTACTCCCCAGTGGTGGGTGTTTGCCTGCGATTGGGTGTCCCAGTGACACCTGCCTCATCATGTGACACTGACCAAAAACATCAGCTCGATGGGTGCCACCATCAGTTTTCACTTTGTAGTCACAGGGCTCTGTGACCCAGCTTTCACTTCTCTGTGCCACCTTGGTTTCCCTTGGGAGACTTCAGCCTCATTCTAGAGGGGAACGGAGCAGGACCTCGGCTTTTCCAGAGTTGAGGGTGGGATCCCTCGTCCTAGACAAAGCCGCTCAAAGTGTTTCACATCCTAACAAGTTGGAAGTATGTTGTTTTGCTCCTGTGGTTAGAGAAACACTGAGGGGAGGAATGTCTCTTCCCTTGGTGGAACTTCTTTCCTAGAACCATCTCGTCATCCTCCTCGGTCTCCCAGGACTGGGTTTCCCATCTTGGAACTCTGGTACCAATCATTGTCCCCTCTCTCTTGCTCAATGAGGGTCAAGCTTCTGCCCAGACTGATTGCTTTCCATGGATGCCAGCCCCTCTAGGATTCTGAGATCAGCAGCCCCGTTGTTGGGAAGTGAAGCATTTTCTGGTGGTGTTGAACTCTGACATTAATTGAGGAAAAATTGGTACAGCAAAGGTAGCTGAGAGGCCTTTAAAGACTTGGAGAAGGGGGAAGTTTCTCCATTCCTTCTAATTTATTTTGTCACTTTCACGAGAAGGCCTGTGCCGGGGGACTTGATGTGTGGGGTTCTGTGATCCTCAGCGTGAACACAGTGAGGGAGATGGTGCATCAAAGTTAGTCACTGGAAAGTGAGGGAGAAGGAACTCAAATCCTGACACCTGTGCTCAGGCCGCCTCTCTGTGAGAGGACTAGTGGCCACCCTCGCCCTTGCACGTCTGAGGTAGCAGAAAGCACAGACTGGAGCAGACTGCAGGAGTTGAATCCAGCCCCAAACTTATGGGAGCCCTTGGATAGTGGGGCTCCTGCCTTCCCCGAATTTTCCCATAGGGCTTAATGTAGGGCTGTGAAGGCAGTGGGCTTGGCAAATGCTTTCGGTTGCTTGAAATGCAGCTCGTGAAGAATCACATGGAATAATAATCTGAGCACTGGACAGGGAATCCTACATTCTCATCCTCCTGTCCCCAGTTTCATCTGGCTCCTGGGTTATCACTTCCTGTCTGTAAATCCAGAGGGTTGGACCAGCCCATCTTATGCAGCAGGGAAAGGTAGAGATTCGTCTTTAAGCGGATCTCAGAGGTGAGGTGAGATGCACATGTCCAGCCCATCCACAGAGCTTGCCAGGCAGAAGCAGGGATGGGTATTTGGAACCCTGTCCTGCCTTCCCTTCCCACAGGGCGCCTCTCCCCATCCCGAGTTGGGGTCTGTTTTGGGAGAGCCAGAGTGGAAGGCAGCTCTGTTCGTGTGTCAGGTGTGAGAAAGAAGTGAAATGTTAAGTGGGAGCTGGTGTGCAGAGCAGCTTCCAAGTTGCACAGGGACCCTGGCATCCTGAGTGCAGTGGCCTAGACATCTTCCCAGGAGGACTTAGCCCAGCCCAGGTGCACCCCCTTTCTCCCTCTGAAGGTCCACGCAGGCTCTCTTGGGCAACAAGGGGCTGGTCTGAGGCCCTGGGCCTGCTCCCTGTAGCAGGGGCTGGGGTGGAGGTCACTCTGGATGAGGCGGAGTTGCCCAGCTATTCAGGACGCCAAGAAGGACCCAGTGCTGGCCAGAGACCAGGCAGGAGGGAAGTGGTGTGAGAAGAGGTAGGAAGGAGGACAGCAGGGTGGCCTGCGTGGAAAGGGGGCTCTACAGTGGATCCTCTTGATTTCCAGTCCACCCTTGAAACTCATGTCCCAGGGAAGTGAACTGTGGCTGCCAGCAGCCATAGGAGTGAGGGCCGCACACTTGGGGTGGGCATGGGGAGAGGGCAGGAGAGCCAGGATACTTGGCTGTGTCCTCTCGTTTGCTAGAGATCAGTTGTAGGGAGCGCCTGCTACACACCATCCCAATAGCAGGTAAGTGGGGCCACTGATATTTGAGATTGGAATGGATACTTTTTCTCCCCAGTAACCCTGCTACTCTCTAGACTCTAGCATGATTTAGGGACTGGCCTTTACCATTCCAATCAAGTGCCTTTGAAAGCAGGGACCCTCCCTTAAGTCGCTCCTTGGTACCACCCTTTCCCCCCCCCCCCCGCGTTGACTTACTGCTACCCACTATGTCAGGGACTCCTCCTATTGAGTTAGGATTATTATCTACACAGATGAGGAGACGAAAGTGGAGATTCAGGTGTGTGCTCCAACTTTACCTGCTCCAGAGTCTGTCCTTGGAACCCAGCACATTTTGCTCTACCACTGGAGTAAAATGGCACCCAGGACTGAGATCCCTGGGCCAATGCTGCTCAGGCCTGGCTGCAGAGTAGGGAGCCGAGGCAGAATCTTTGGGGTGAGGTTCTTGTTTCAACTCTTCTAGAAGCTCTTCAGGTGCCACCAAGCTGGAGAACCTGTCCTAGACTAAACCATTTGACAGCTTGAAATGAAGGACTCATTGTCACTCCTGCACCCTAGAAGCAGGCAGGTCTACTAGCTCATTGACACTGGTTCAACACTTGGAACCAACATACTGTGATCCATGCTGGGGATACTGAGGCAGGACAGCTTCCCACAGGAGAAACCACCCGGTCCGGGCTGGAGGCCCAGGAGCTCTCTGCTACTTTCCATGGGTTCCAGCCCATCCTAAGTGAGCAGGGTGGCTGTATACTGTCAGTTCCCTCTGAATCCTGGGTGCCTTCGACTGGTGTGAATACTTTTTCCTCCAGGAGATTGAAGGGAAAGGGGCAAAAGTAGAATGAAAGTTGGATGTGCAGCGTTAGAGGAAGGAAACAGGCTTCTGGGAGGGATGAGACTGGTTAATGTCCGAGTGATGAGCGTGCATAGCTGGAAGGGTGCGTGGTGGAAGGAGCTGGGAGGTCCAGGACCAGTGCCTAATTAGACTGCCCCTTGCTCAGGGTTCCTTTCTGGCTTCTGCTGAGTTATCTTGGTCCTCTCCCCCTTTCCCAGTCCCTGAATTTATTTTGTCCTCTTACCCAGTCACTCCCCTGCATGTGTTAAATCGGGGTGTGGAGGACGACCTGTTGGCAAGTGAAGGGGTGGAGTTTGGGGTGATTGACAAAGGACTGCATTGCACGTAACTGCTAATGGAAAAGAAGGTACAGCTCAGCCGTGAACCTGATTTTTAGGGACCTCCCAGAGCCTGTGGCCATGTCGCCTCCCCTTGGGTCCTACACAATGGCTGCCTAATCCCGCTGCTGGTACTGGGTGGGGTGAAGAATAAGACTGAATCAAGTTCCCATGGGCCCATCCCTCCACTTCCTTGCCAAGCCGAAGTCCCCACCCTCAGCTGAGTCCTAGGAGGTGGGCCTGTTCCCCAGCCTGCCGATGGGAGGGACGACCCCAGCTTCCCCAGGATTGCAGGGTCCAGATTGATGGGAAGCTGAGAAGCATCGTCCAAATGTCAGAGCCAAGCGAGGGCCAGCTCACCGGGGACCCTCCCCAGCTTCTCCTGCCCCTGTCCTTGCAGGAGCTGTCCAGGCGGCAGCAGTTCCTGCGAGAGCATGCATCCCCCTTCTCCGCCTTCCTCATGGACAGCTTCGGCCGGCAGCACAGCTACCTTCGGATCTCGCTCACCGAGAAGTGCAACCTCAGATGTGAGTGGCAGTCCATCTGCTGACTCGTGTATCTTCTAAGAGCTCCTCAGGCCCAGAGAACTGCCTCTGTCTTCCAGTTCTACCTCCCACTTTCACACCCTCCCCTGCCTTGCCTGGGAGGATAATAAGAGTCCAGGTTGAGTTTCAGGATTATGGACACTGGGTCCTACTTGAGATTAGACTTGAGAACAGAATTGCCATGGGGTTTAGGATTCAGATTACATCCTAGACCTCTCACTCTTCAGGGCTCCTGCTTCCCTTCAGTTCCCAAGCCCAGGATGTGGCCACTGGCAGGGGCAGTGGACATTATAAACATGTGATCCACACAGCAGTGCCCACGACAAGCTCTGCAAGCCACAGATGCCCCGGTCCTAGGACAGAGCACCAGTGCTACATAACCCTGTGCAAGGAGCACTTTGGGGTGTATCCTGCTAGGTGGGCTTCCTCAATTGGGTCCTTCCTCCTCCTCTTTCCCTCCTTCCTTGTTCCTCTTCATTCCCTCTCTCCCTGCTACTGCACCTTGCAATAAGTGTATTTCACAGGTCAGTGAATATACTTGTGTTTGAGAGATGTTAATCACACAAAATACGACATTGCACATTTTGATCTTACCTGTTTTGTCTCAAGAGTCCAATTCTAGACCCACTGTGCCAGTTTGACTTTGTACTCCATCAGGTCTTGACCCAACCCTTGGAAAAGCAGAACCGGAAGTAGTGGTAAAGGGTGGTTCCACCCCAGCTGACGACCCCATTCTGATAATAACCTGCAGCATACAGAGTGAATTTTAGTACACTTGTGGCTACAGAGGAGAGCAGCTTTCCCCGGGCCAGAAAGGCTTCCTTTACCTCCTGGCATGGCCAGAACAGTGACAGCCACAACTCAGAGCGAGGAGGAGGAGTGATGCCAACAGGAATGGAACCAGGGCCCTGGTCTGTCCAGACAGGCCCTGCCCAGCTGCCCCTGAGCTGAGGGAACAGCGTCTTGGCATCGCCTACCCCAAGCAAGGCCCTGCTGTCCACCTAGTTCATCACCTTTGACCCACAGCCTCGGCTCCCAGTGAGGGTGGTTAAGGCCAGATTTGGGAGGAGGGTCGCCAGCCTGGAAGAGATGAGCTAGGTGCTGAGGAGGAGGTGTGTACCACTCAGGATTCACTGAGGTCTCTGTGACCTCTGGATGAGGTTCAGGGAAACTCTGGGCCTCTCCACCTGGGGTACCCACTTCCTACCTCATCCCTTTGCCTCCTTCCTCTCACAGGCCAGTACTGCATGCCTGAGGAGGGTGTCCCCTTGACCCCCAAGGCTGACCTGCTGACCACTGAGGAGATCCTGACCCTTGCTCGGCTCTTTGTGAAAGAAGGCGTTGACAAGATCCGCCTCACAGGTGGAGAGCCGCTTATCCGGCGGGACGTGGTGGACATCGTGGGTGAGTTGGACGTGTGTCATCCTTCCTCATCCAGCTGTGCACCAGTGGCTTGCAGTCTCATGGAAATCAGAGTCTTCACCAGGAGGCCGCCATAACCAGGCTTCCGCTGTCCGTGGCTACTTCCTGTCTACCACTCTGGCTCTTTCCTCTCCAGTCCCACAGCTGGGCCTTTGCACTTGCTGTTCCCTTTGTCAAGGGCTCAAGGCTCTGCTATGCTCACATTTCATCTTCCTTGGTCACTATCTGAAGTGCACCTCGTGTACTTAACCCCCTCCTTACCCCATCCCCTTAACCTGACTTAGTCTTCTTCGTAACACTTCTCTCAGCCTGGCATTGTTTGCTTGCATGTTTGTTTTTCGATTGTCTGTCTCTTCCCTTCACTGGCATGAAAGCTCTGGGGTGGCTGGGGCACGGTGAGCTCACAGCAGTGCCCCCAGCACCTAAACCATGCCTGGAACATACTTGGCGCTCACTGGGATTTGCTGAATGAGTGAAGGGTGCGTCCAAGTACAGTCTTTGGAGTAAGACATACAGCCTACAGTACTTCTGTTTGAATTTCCAGCTATGTGTGCCCAGAGACAACTTTTACAGCTTCTTCTAAACCTTGGGGCAGTGAGAATACCTATCCTGTAGGGCTGTCTGCTACCCCAGAAGGAAATAATTATGGTGTGCCCCAATGTGGTGGGTGCTCATGAGGAGGGGGAGCTCTGCAGAGCCATGGGCTGCTTCTGAGCCCCAACAATGGACAGAGAACTTGCCTTGTGTCATGAGAGGTCAAAACCAAAGGACAATAAGGCTCCGTGTTCTTCATGGCTGTGCCCTACATGCTGCTCTGGATAGGATCTCCCAGCCCTCGGCTCTTTGTCTCATTTCCTGTGTCTGTCACTTTCTTCACAACTTGAGAGAGGTTTATTGAGGCTCATATTTGTAGTCCATGGTCTCCTGGCTCCAAGGCAGAACCATATGGCAGAGGAAAAGCTGCTCACCGCATGGGAGCCAGGAAACAGAAGGGTGGAGCTGGGGAGGGAGAGGCACCCTTCCAGGTCACACCACCTAAGAGCAGTTCAGCTACAGCACCCTATGTGCCAGTCCCCTTCCACCACCCTGCCTCTCAGCGCATGAAGCTTTGCGGGACATTTTTATCTAAACCGTAGCACCTGGTTCAGTAGAGCGCCTTCTCAGATGTCTGGTACTGTGTGTGAATGCAAAGATGAGTGAGCCATGGAGGAAGCAGCTGCTGGAGTGGGTTGGTGAGCCATGGGATAAGGGACGAGCGCTGGAGGTGCTCTGGGAGCCCTCTGAAAGCCCCCCCTCCCTCCCTTCTCCATGGCTGGCTTCCCCTGACCCCTCACTTCCACACAACCTTGGATCTTGTTGCCAAGATGGCCCAGCAGGTTGACTCCATATTCCAGCAGCTGCTCAGAGCTGAAAGACAGGCTGGATCCCTGGAAGAGCTGACCCTGCTGAGCCACTTCCTCTCTTCCCCACCAGGGAATGGGTTCCCTCTTTAATCCTTGTCTTGCAGGGCCTTGGGGAGACCAGAGAGCGAGGATCACTGGTTAGTGAGCATGAGACAGGATGACAGCATGGATACAGGAACCCGGAGCATTCCATAGGAGCCACCGTCTGGCATAGGGGGAAGAGTAGGAACCAGGAAAGTTGGCAGCCTGTTCCTGTTCTGCCACCCTCAGGCTCTGTGAACTTGTCTGTGTTTCTTACTCCGTGTTAGATTCCTGTGGCTGAGACAAAACCCTAACATACACAACTTGAATCAAAGGTATATTTTGACTCAGTTTCAGAACTTTCAGTCCATGGTCAGCTGGCTCCAAGACAGAGGGGCCTGGCAGAGGAAAGCCACTCACCTTATGGCAGCCAGGAAACAGAGAAAAGGAAAGAGCTGAAGAAGAGACATCCCCTTCAAAGGCACACCCCCAGTGACTCCCTTCCTCCAACTGGCCCCACCTTCTGCCACCCGATCATCAGTGGATCAATCATTATTGATAAAGTATTTAAATTCGTCCATTTTACTGATGCAGTCAACACCCTCACGATCCATTGACCTCTCTAGGCCCCGCCTGTGAACATTGCTCCCTGGGGGATCAGATCCTCCATACCTGAGTTTTTTGGGGGACACTTGATATTTAAACCCTAACTCCTTGGACCGCAGCTTTCTCATCTGGACCAGCCACTTTAAGGACTGTTCCTGCTGTGATATGACACATGTGATACTGCTTCTGGCTGATAGCTTGGGGTGGGCAAGGGTGATCACCACGTAGCTGCTTAGGACAGGAACCTGCCCCGAGTGACCTGCTCTTGAGGATTCGCCTGCACTCCCCCAGCCTTCTCCCCAGAGCTGCCAAAGAATGGCAGCTATAATGCCTCGAACTCCTGCAGGGCACTTTGCCATTTCTCAGGCAGCTTCTCTGGTCTTCCCAGACAGGCTAACTCATAGAAGAGGCCCGAGGGACAGGACGGGTGGGTGCTAGTGGGAGAAAGGAGAGAGCAGGAGTCATAATGGGAATGGTCACACACCTGTTCCCACCGTCCCAGGTGAGCTTTGAGGAATCTCCCCCAAGGGCAGAGGGCAAAGGTCAGTTTGGTGGTCTCCTTGAGCCTGCAGTCCCTGCCTGAAGGTGCGGCAGCCTTGGGAATGCAGCAGAGCTTCCCATGGGGTTTGCACCACACGTCTCTGGCTCCCTCTGTCTGCAGTCACTGGGGGCAGGGGAAATGGGTTTAAAGTAGTGCTGCCCACAAGGACTTCCCAAAGTGGTGAGACCTTTCTGTATCTGTGTGGCCACATTCGGCAGCCATTACCACATGTAGCCTCGCGCTTAGCCCAGGACTAATGTGACCATGAAGCTGAGTTTGTCATTTCATTACTTTGGAAATTTGAAGAGCCTCAGTGGCTGGCAGCTGCCACACTGGACATGTTAGGAAGTAAGGGAACTGAATATACAGGTTCTGTGATGATGTCAGAGGTCTTTGTAGAGCTGCCTTGGATCTAATTTCAGATTGACTTGTGGCTGTCTAATCAGGGCTGCAGCTTTATTTTCTTCCTCTTTTCCTTTCCTTCCTTCTATCCTGCATTCCTTCTTCCTTATAGGGAGTAGCCAGATCCCACAGCTTAGACCCCTGGGGAGATTTAATGCCACGGAGCCATTGACTGATTTTGAAAGGGGTGAAGTTTTGTCTTATTTTTGATGGGCTCCGGTTGCATAAGATCACATTAAATAAATCGCAATCAGTGCACGAGATATTCTTATAGCTTAATGTTATCAGTTAACGAGACCCACTATGCTCCCTCCTCCCACTTATTTCATTTTACTTTACGAACACTGAGGACAACTTTCATCAACCTTTCTGGCCTTCCTGTTCCTGCTCCCTTTCCCACCCCACCCCTGCTGTCTCCTAGATTTTCTTTATACCTCTCTTGCTTTATAAAAATTAATGTTTTTAAAATTTTATTAGTATCATACTGTGTATAGTCTTTAAGGGCTTGCTTCATTAAATGGTTGAGGGAGACAGGGTCAGGCTGGCCTTAAACTCTCAGTGATCCTCCTGCCCCAGGGGCTGGGGTTGCTCCACCATGCCCAGCTAAGGGCTTCCTTTGACAGCAGTGAAATTCATACCTATTATCCAGAGTTGTAGTTCTTTCCTTTTCTCTTTGCACTCCCGTTCCCTTCAGTGACTGTACCATACTTGTTCGAGAACACTGGAGTTGGTTCAAGTTTTTTTCTACTTTGTTCTGATGCACATTTCCTAGCATAGACTTTCTCCAGGAGCAGAACTGCTGAAGCATAGGACATGTGAATATTTAACTTTGGGTAACTATGGGGCCCTATCTAAAGTGGTTGTGCCAACTTACACTGTAAGAGATCCTGTTGGACATCTTTCTCAACACTTGTATTATCATTCTTGATTTTTGCCAGTTGAACGAGTATAAAATTACATTTCATAAGGTCTTGATTTGTATTCCCATGTTTAACAGCGATTTCAGGCATCTCTTCACATCTGAACTAGCCATATGTATTTCTCACTGTATTGTCTAATCGCGTCTTTTGTACATTTTTCAGTTTGGTGGTTCCTACGCGTTGAAGGTGTTCAACAAGAAGGTTCCTTTGTATGTGTTGCAAATACTTTCTCCTAGCCTGAAAAAAGCTATACATTGTATAATGAGTTGTTTGAACACTAGCAATTCTCAAATGTATCAATGTTTTATTTTATGGTTGGTGGGTTTATCTTATATTGATGAAACATCAAGGTCAGATCAACTGCCTGTGTTTCCACTAAAAAATTTAAAGTTTTACATGTAAGTCCGTAGTTCATCAGTGGATGATTTTTAGGAATCCAGTTTAGTTTATATTTTAAAAAGTGGTCATCCATATGGAAAAAATATTTTTATTAGTGTGTGTTAATTTTACACAGAAGGTTTGAACATGGTATTTTCATACGTGCATATAACATTTCTGATCCCATCCATCCTGTTCTCTCCCTTAAGGCCTCCTTCCTCTTCCCCTTATTCCCTTCCTCTTTCCTAATAATAATCTCACTTAGATGGCCATTTTTTCTGGTTCAGTGTATTGAACATTCCCCACTTCCTCCATAAATCTGACATGTAGGCATCAATTTGTTCCAGGCTCTGCTCTGTTCTGCTTTCTGTGTGCCAACATCATGCTATCTTAATCGCCATCGCTTCATAGTAAGTCCATTATCCATCCGTAGGGCAAGTCTCTTTTGCTTCAGCAATGTCTTAGTTATACTAAGCCTTGCACTTGTAAATTTCAGAATTAGTTGATCAAGCACCATGAAGAGTCAGGGGTTTTAACTGCACTGAGCGGGGGAGAAGGGACACCATCTTTGCTCATAGCCTCCCACACCACTCCTCTTCCATGGCTGTCTTTCTCTTTTGTCCTGCCCTTTACTCAGGGACCGCATTACTCAGAGCCCCTTATCTGCAAATCCCCTCTCTGATGGCATGCTACATTTTTGACAGCTGGGTT